CGCCACTCTGTGGCATCGAGCTCCGCGTCGTCGAGCCTCCATTCGTCCAAGCAGCAAGGAGATGCTACACTGAAGGCGCATGTTGCAATAGTATGTTTCAAGTGTTTCACATGTTTCAGAGTATGTTGCAAGTGTTGTATATCGATGTTGCAAAAATAGATCGGGATGTTGCACATGTTGTAATGGCTATACACGTATGTTTCAAGTGCATGTTCCAAATGTTTCATCTGTTCTAGATGAATATTGCAAGTGTTTTATCTAGATGTTGCAAAAATAAATATGGATATTGCATATACATGCATGTTGCGAAGTATATGTTTCAAAGTGTTTTCAGGAGTTTCATATGTATGTTTGCGAGTGTTTCATCTTGATGTTGCATATGTTTACGAGTGTTTCATCTGGATGTTGCATATGTTTGTAATGGTTTTCAAATGTTTTTTAGACATTTTCGCAAGTGTTTCAGACCCTTGTTTTAAGTGTCTCATTTGTCTTCTTTCGTATGTTGCAATTGTTACATCTGAATGTTTTAAAAGTAGATCGGGTGTTACACATAAGATGCGCATGGAAAGCAGCTGGCGGCGCGGATGACGTTTGGGGCGGCATGGGTGACGTCCAGGGCGGCACAAGTCCACTGCTGGTGCGCTTCCCTCACGAGCCCGATGTGGTATGCGCTCTTTTGATCCCTCTGCGCGGCAGCTTCGGGACGCCCGGACTGAGGTCTAAACGCTAGCAAGTCCGTTTGCACATCAACCGCAGCTGCTGAATACGGTTAGATCATTGTAGGTATAATATACGGTGGGGCTAATTTTTGCACCCTAGTACCCTACGCTACTGCAAAGAAGACTCGTCCTCGCACCTCTCACACACCCACCACACAACACGAGGCACACGAGAGCGCGCACCCAAAAAAAAAGAGAAAAGATATTGACTCAAGTCAACGAACAGAACAGTGGGAGCAAGTGAACATAGCTGAGTCAAAGGGATCAGAATGTGAACACCGCCGACGTCAACGTGGTAGCTGAAAGACAAGTTCCACAAATGGTAAATCAAATCTTCATCACATGAGACCAAGTCTTGTCTTTAATTAATCTATATATCCAGTGCACCAAAGATGCTATCTGCTGTAATTTAATTATATGCCTACACTTGACCAAGTTAATAATCGAAGTCGTCCACACGTTTCATTATGCAAACGCGGATGATTAAGCTAAGCTAAGCTAAGCTAATAGACCATGTCATACGTTCACACGCTACACTCTATCTCCACCAGCTCCTCCATCACAGACGATCACCCTCACCTTTATATATATATTCACCGTCAAATCCTTAATCCATCGCCTCTCAAGTCTCAACTCTCAGCTAGCTAATCACCTTCATTCAACTTCAACATCAGCTATCATCTCCTAGCTCGTCGAAAATGATGGAAAATGTTAGGGTACAGCCGTCTCTGCTCGCCATCACAATCATCATGACAGCGGCAGCAGCAGCGTTCGGAACGGCGTCCGGCGCCAGCTACACCGTCGGCGAGCCGGGGGGTTCATGGGACCTACGGACCAACCTGACCGCCTGGGCGTCCACCATCACCTTCCACCCGGCCGACCAGCTGGTGTTCAAGTACGACGCGTCGGCGCACGACGTCGTGGAGGTGACGCACGCCGGGTACCGCTCCTGCTCGGCAGCAAGCCCCGTCTCCGCCGCGCTCCGGACCGGCAGCGACGCCGTCCGGCTGGACGGCGGCGCCAGCAGGAGGAGGCGATACTTCATCTGCAGCACGCCGGGGCACTGCGCCGCCGGGATGAAGCTGGAGGTCAGAGTCACGGACGACGACGCCGAGTGCACCAACAGGTTGCCCCCGCCGGGGCCAGCGCCGCCAGGTGCGCCGTCAGGCATCACCATCTGCTCGGGCGGACCGCCGGTGGTTATCATGACGCCTGGCGTTGTCTCCTACGGCGCAGCGCCGAGGTCGTCCTCGGCCGGTCTCGGCAGTGTACTTGCCACCGTGGTCATGATGGTGTCGCTGCTGCTTGGCCTCGCAATTGTCTAGCTCGTCCATGTTGCAACAGAGCTTTTGCAATTCTCACACAGCAACGTTGAACATAATGTGTCTGTTCCAAATGTTAGTGCCAGATGATTATCTCGTGTCAGAAAATTATTATTAGGACTTCTAAATATGTATATGACACGTAAATAATTTGATATTGCTGCTAGCTAGGAGAACTAGAACGCTCATTCTTTCTTTTCTCCTCAACAAATTTTCGTTGGTCTTATGTATAATGTTTTACTACCAACATAATGATTATTTCTACTACAAAATTTAAATTGATTCTTTTGTCAAAATGGAACCAACGAGAAACTCTAGTTAGAGAATTTGTTGTGGCTCATGTATATATATTTGACCAACGTTAATTTATATACATGTGTTCACACGAGTATTGTTTGGTTATTTTTTGTTTATGTCCAATGGTGATATCAATTTGAACTGTCATTAGCATGTTTGTTCTCAATAAGACCAACTTAGGGTTAAATTCATGCAGGACATAATTTTTCACATACTATCCTTACTTATATTATTTCATCCTTTATTTTGAGTTAGTTGTAAGTCTCTCAGAGGTTGTCAATAAGATTAAAGACATTCCTTTGCTCACATGGACCAACTTCCCATTATGGAAAGGGGAGGTTCAATTGCTCCTCTTAATTTTGGAGTATGAACATGCCATCCAGGAGGACGCTCCTATTGCCCCGACTACGGAAGGTGATTAAGATAAAACCTTTTTTTGAGAGGGTTAAAGAATATGATCGAGAAGCTCAAATGGAATATCATTCATGATCACGAACAAAAAGGTGCATTAATGTTGAAGTTAGGGGATAAATCCCTGACATTGACAACGCCACCCAATCCTTAGATATAACGGTATAAAGGTTGGCGAAACTTATTGCCCAAAGCCGTAAAAATAAGCTCAACAGGATGCAAGAACTCAAAAGATCACGAGTTAAGTATAGTATTAATACTTTAAGAGACCAAAGTGTTACTTCTATAAGAAAGATGGGCATGTGTAGAAGAATTGTGATGGCTTTAAGAATTGACTTCACAAAAAGGGTAATTATAAGTTATGATGCAATTTTAATTATGAATCCCATACGTTGATACTTGGAGGATTCTTTCAGGTGCCATTGGCACATTACTAATTCTTCACAGGGTATCCTTACTCTCAGGCCGGCAAAGGGGAGCACATGATTAGAGTGTTGAATGGCATGAGTTTGAAGATGAGGCCATTACACTTATCTCCAACTGTTATTAGTTGAGTTTTTTTTTAAAACAATGTAATCCATGTCCCTATATGGAAGGAACATTAGTTGAAATTCTTTATTAGTTGATTATGTTTGAATGCTTGGGAACAATAGATGTTTTGAATGGATATAATAATGATATTTCTTATTTCTTATGCAAGCCATTATTTACATATTGCCTCCCAATTATTCTTTTATGATGTTAATGAGCTATATTATTGATAAATAAAAGAAAATTAAAACCACAATAGCAGTAAAACATCAGTAACCTAAGCTATCCAACATTATACTCATATTGTCTAAAAAATACAACAATCCTGCGGTGTAAATCGTAATGCAATAAATCGTTCCATGGAACCAATTCTATACATCGAATCACAGGTAGAGCATATATATATGCCTATATATCAGATCCAACAAAACGAACAACTATTGCAACTACACTACAATTCAAACAACATACTATAGTCACCTAGAACTACAAAAAATGCATAAGGGGGGATTTCTTGGAGAGTTACCTTCTAGGGATGAGGCGGGCCGCTTTCCCTAACCAATCAGGGCTCCTAGCGGTGGCAATCTGGCTAGAAGGGCTAGGTGGCGCTGGGCTGCATTCGGCGCAGGCAGGGAGAAGGAAGCAACAAGAAGAGGCTTGGAGTGTGTCTTCTCTTCTATATATGGCCTTGTCACACCACGTGGGATGGCATCACAGTCATGCCAAATGCTATGGCGCGACAGGCTGGCCGCCCTCGGCCAACACGCTGCCAATGTGCCCAACCTTGTCGCAAAGTGCATGTGGCCTGTTACAGTAACCGCACTAGCGTGATCAAAAGAATTAAATCTGCAAAATATTTGCCAACAAGGTTATTATTAAATATTGAATAATAACTTAAAAATGAAAAAAAGGAGGTGAGGGAGGTTTAGGCACTGGCCGAGCTTGAGATGGATTTCTAAACTAGAAATGAATTTCAGTGCCAAAAATAAATTATAAAAATATGAGAACTCCAACATGCATATGGTGAATTTCGGTGCAGACATTAGAAATATTTCCAAAAATGGTTTTGCATGCAAACAAGCAAACCAATTTTTTAGTTTGTTGTGAAATTTTAGAAATTTCAAAATTTTGGTGTTTTTTAGCATGAGGAAATAAAAAGCAAATGGTATTACAGACATGTTGAACAATTAGTACTTCTATATGTTAGATAATTTCAAGATATGCTCAATTCTATGAATATATGAGGTCATGAGCAGTTATGTGTTATATCAGTTAAATATTGTACAATTATTATTTGTGGTATTATATAGGCCAAATATTATAGGTTTTAGCCTATGAAAAAAATTAATAAAGTCATTAAAAGTTTGAACACACAAGCTTAATAATAAAATCCTAGCCTGCCGGTGACTAGTGGGGCTTGTTGTTGGCATGATGAATTGATGCAGATGGCTCTCCCTTGAAGCTTGGAATCAAACATTGGCAGCAGTTTCGGGGCAAGGGATCGTTGATCTGGCTATAAAGAAACATGTATGCAGGCTTGGGCCACCGTCGTATCATATGTAAGTATCTGATACCCGGAGTGTGGCAAAAGCAACGGATAAAGCTAGTGTGATGAACCATATCCATATATATAAAGCACTACGTGGATGCCGCGTTCAACGTCGAAATGACAGTTTCCCCTTGGTCTCATTAGTGTTAATTAGACTGTTGCACTGGCGCCATGGACAACGTGATGATCGGTAGGGTAGACCGGCCGGTAGACACCACCATTGACGAGAGGATGGCCAAGGCGACCGAGAAGCTCGAGGCTGATTTCGCCAAGGTGGGCACCAAGATGAGCAGGTTCCCGCACGAGATGCGGGGGATCGGCGGCGGCCACCGCTACATCGCACCGATCGTGGCGTCCATCCTCGGCCAGGACGGCTCCTTCTTCGTCGAGCCGAGCGTGGTGGCCATCGGCCCGTACCACCATGGCGCGCCTCATCTGCAGAAGATGGAGGAGGTCAAGCTGGCGGCGGCCTACAACCTCTGCCGGAGCTCAGGCCACTCTACGGCAGAGGTGTACGGGAAGGTGCTCTCCGTCGCGGGAGCCGCCCGCGACTGCTACGACACCGACGACCCCGCGGTGATGGGCGTTAACGACGCCGACTTTGCGACCATGATGTTCCTCGACGGCTGCTTCCTGCTGGAGTACATGGTCGCCGGCGACACCAACGAGATGATCCGGCGACAAATCATGTCCATGGGGACGAGCATCCAGAAGGACATCTTTTTGCTCGAGAACCAGATCCCAGGATGGGAGGCAAGTTCCAGGCGTGGACAATCCGCCGGGGTGGCCGTGGCCATGGCAACGTTGACGTTGACCACTACAAGTACAAGCCGCCGCATCTCCTTGGCCTCCTCCGCTTCACTCTGTTCGGCTGCTTGCCTGAGGAGAAGGAGACGCTCAACTACCACGGCTTTGTCTTGGACCAGTCGTTGCTGTCGAGGAGCGCGGAGCGCCACGGAGCTCGCGCAGATTGGCGTCGCCCTGACCCCTAGCACGGCGCCGTGGTTCGGTGACATCCGGTTCCGGTGGCGCCACCGCGTGCTCGGCAAGCTGTCCCTGTCGCCGGTGTTCCTGAACCATTTCACCGCCTGTTGTCTCGTGAACATGGCGGCGTTCGAGACAATATACACCGATGAAGAAGCGACCAAGGAGCCGGACGGCTTCGCGGTGAGCTCGTACCTGTCGGTGCTGGCGATGCTCATGGACGAGATGCGGGACGTGCAGGAGCTCCGGCAAAGACACCTGCTTCACGGCTCCATGAGCGACATACAGGCGCTAGTCTTCTTCAAGGCCCTCTTGGAGCAGATCGGCACGTACATGCGCCGCAGGTCGCTGGCGATCCTCGTATACCAGTTCGTCTACCTCAACTACTACCAGATCGCCACTGCCATCATATCCATCACAAACAGTCATTAGCAGCGTATGTACGGTCCTTCAGACGTTTAAGAATGGTTCTAATAAATAGCCTGCTATAGCATCGCTATGCTTTTTCAAAATGTATGCATTGCCATTTGCCAACCAGTACTATTCTCCTATAATACAGTTGGGTACCCAAATCGAGCGAAAGGTAAAAAAAAAGATCCAGGGTGAAATGCATGCGAGCCAAATTCACGAACAGGACCACGGTCCAAGAACCACAATCCCACTCACAGGAACTATTCCATTCCATGGAGTTCACCTTAGACCGAAACGACTCGAGCTCTTAATTGCCAATGGGGAGAAGACGACGAGCTCCACCTCCACGGCAAATGTGTTAGGCATGTGTGGCGGTCACGGTCGTCGCCGACAGGCCGACTGCCCCGCACCGCTCCTCTGCCTCTCTGTCTGATCTCTCGCAGGTCGCGGCGGCAAGAACAATTAGAAAGGAGGAGTGAAGTGGTAGCGTTTGGTTGACAGACATGATGTGATGGGATGGTTCCGTCTCAGTTTTCAGGGGTGGGACGATCCCATCTGTTGTTTGGTTGAGAATGGATAGGATGACTCTGTTTGATTCTGGGACACTAAAAATGGGATGAGCCATTGACATGTAGGGCCCACTTTCATCAGATTTCTTTCTTTTCCTTTCCTTTTTTTCTTTTTTCTTCTTCCTTATCCTATCTTCTTCGTTCTTCTGTCAGGACCGCTTCACTGTGAGTCGTGACCCAAGGCTCGTTGGCCTCCGCCATGCGACCTCCCCCGCACCTCCTCCGCCTCCACCTGCGACCCCACATCACGCTGGTCGCCAGGGCCCACCGTAGACCTCCACACGCCTCCTCTACCTCCACCATGTGTCTCCTCTAGCCCACGCCCTAGGCCTCCGCCGCCTCCACAATGCGTCTCCTCCGCCCACGCCCTAGTCCTCCTCCTCCCGCGCCTCCTCCACTGGAGCTCGCCAGGCAAGACGGCAGTGCTGTGCAAGGCCATGAGCAAAGCTCGCCGGGGCCGGGCGTGGCGATGCGACAAGGCTGGGTATGGCGCCGCACGACGTGGCCGGGCGCAGATCGCTGGAGCCACTGGTGGAGACCGCACCGCCACCCTCTCTCCTCTCCTTTCTCCTCCGTCAGTGTAGAGCTTCGTCCCTGTGGGGCGCCCTGTCCGTCGAAATCACGAGGATGGGGTTGCCCCGGATCTTTGCCGAATATTCCAACCGAGGATGACTCCGCCCCTGGCCGCCTCTCAACCAAACACGGGGCTAGGTGGGATATCCCACCTGGGATGATCCCGTTCTCGCAACCAACCGCCACCTAAGCGTCATATAAAATATTCGGCATCATGATCCTTTCAACGATTGCACTTTATAATGTGCACAAAAAATGCCACCTGGGATGATCCCGTCCTAGCTAGCCACTTGCTTGAGGTGTTGATCATTTATATTCGGCATCATGATCCTTTCAACGATTGCACTTTATAATGTGCACAAAAAATGCAACCAAAATATGGATGGATAGAGTTTGTACTAATGCGTGCGCTCATGCAAAGTTTGAACTTAAAACAAAAAATGGTGCAAGGAGAAAGAAAAATGTAAAAACAATCTATGAATAGAAGTTGGATGACATAAGTTTGTATTCACAACCTATTACTATTCACATGTTGATTCTATTTTTCATATATTTTTTTTGCATACGTTGTTAAGCTCAAGTATGCATGAAAATAGATTACCTGTCCATCCATATTTTTATTTTGGTTGTTTTTTTAGGAAAAAAAACACTTGTAAAGTTGCATTTTGTGTGTGGGAGCACTTAATCGCCACTAGGAGCACATGTTCGCGAACGTATGAATCCATGTGCGCGCGATATCTGACCGCCGACGTCAAACATGGTAGCTGAAAGGTGAGTTCCACAGGTCCTCTCATCACGTGGCTACATGAGGCTAAGTCTTCTGTTCGCTTGGTCGTTTGTGTGGCTTATAAGTCGGTTGATGCTGTTTTGTTGTGAGAGAAAAATACTATGTCATGGCTGATAAGCATGGCTGATACGATCAAGCGAACAGGGTGTCCAGAATATTCATTATGCACATGTTTAATCATGCAAAGCTAATGGACCATGTCATCCTTGCACACTACCAGCTAGCTCATCCGTACCCTATATATTCACCTCCATATGCATACCTCCATGCACTGCACACAACAATTGCTCAACCATCAAACTAAACCCAGACTCAGCTAGCCAATCATTTCCATTCATTCAAGAATCAAGATCAACAAGCAGCTGTCGAATTAAGCTAATGGCAAGCTAGGGCACAAGCATCACTGGTCGCCGCCGTGGTCGCGATCATTGTGGCGGCGGCAACCGTGCTCGGAACGGCGTCCGGCGCCAACTACACCGTCGGCGAGCCGGGTGGCTCGTGGGACCTGCGGACCAACCTCACCGCCTGGTCGTCCACCGTCGACTTCCACCCGGGCGACCAGCTAGCTCGTGTTCAAGTACGACGCGTCGGCGCACGACGTCGTGGAGGTGACCCAGGCCGGCTACAGCTCCTGCTCGGCGGCGAGCCCCGTCGTGGGCGGCACCCACCAGACCGGCAGCGACGCCATCAAGCTCAACTACGTCGGGAGGCGCTACTTCATCTGCGGCAAGCCAGGGCACTGCGACGCCGGGATGAAGCTGGAGGTCAGTGTCACGCCCGTGTGCACAAACGACAGGGGCTTCAACATGTGTGTTTACCACCCCGTCGGCGCGGCGCCGGGGCCTTCTTCAGCCGGTCTCGGCTCTCCACTTGTCACCGTTAATTGTGTGGGTGCTGCTTGGCCTCACCCTCACCATTGCCTAGCTCAAGCTCACAGCTGTTTCATTTCATTCAACCATGCAGCATCTCATATAGTACTGTTGAAAGAATAATGTCTCTGTTCTAAATACTCATGTCAGTTTAATCTAGGAAGTGTATGCAGTTATGAATCACAGCTCAAATAAAGAGAGCAAGTTAAGAACCAGAGTGGCACCACAAAAGTCGAAATGATGGACTCGCTCACAAAAAGTAAACATGATGAACTCACATGATACGCAAAACAGGAGGAAGGTTATCTGAGTAGAAAATGATAGATGGTACTTGCGATGAACAGAACCACAGTTCAGCAGCTGAAACTGCACGACCTGAGACATTCCACCCTAATGTCTTCAATACATCTTAGTCTAATGGGACAAATATCTCATGACAAGCAAGCATATATGTTTTGCCTGGAACCAGCATAACGTGGCACACCCTACTACTGTCTTCAGAATGCCATCTAGTCCGAAAATGTGAAAAAGACAAGTTCAGCAGCAGCTTTGTCTGCACTAACTCATACGGAACAAAGAGCTTTAGGCACGGCACTAGTAACCCAGAAACCAAAGAGGTGAGCTGATTTGCGTCACTGTTATCTTCTCTCACTGGTCAACAACCTGAATCATAAAGAAAAAATAATTGTTAGCACAATTCCAACTGCCTAGGAATCAAACAGATTGGATTTTGATGATAAAATAACAAGTGTAATAATTGGTAAATAAGCCAAACTGGCTTGCAACCAGAAAATGGATCCCAGGTATATGTGATGTTTAAAGTTCAGAAGTGCCTAACAGCGTTCACAGTATAATACTTTCATAGGCCTAGAGGTTTTTCTAGTAACTCATTTCATCAGCAGAAATTCATGAAAAGATAAGAGAATAAAACCATCTAAGTAACCAAATTGATAAAATAGTCAAATCCCAGCACCATTGTCCTAATCAATTGCAAAGATACGAGAATTGAACCATAACTCTTGTTAAAATTGAAGGAGAAGTCAGTCATAGCTTAAGAATCATCAAATTGGTACATAGATTCTCTAGTTTTGTGTAAAGACCTTCGGTTTCTAAGTTCCAGCACAAAATGGGCATTGCTGAACTAACCTTCTGAAAGAATATCCAAAAGAAGGTAAACAAAAACATAATAAGGTACAAAATGGAAGGATTCACAATTATTTGTGGCTAACTATAACTATTATCAAACGCTAAGGTAGCAATATATCCTTCATTATAATTAATGACAGCAATTATTAAATGCTTGCCTAACATATCAACACGTAATTCTGATACGTAATAAAAAGGTACAAAAGTACCATTTCAAACTACAAAACTCCTGAAAATACACAAGTACTACTATCTGGCAGATTTCAGACACATGAAATGCATACCTAACACACGAGAGTTGAAACTATGCTAGCAAATATATAAAGTTGGCAAGACTGAATCAGGTCTAAAGATAGTTATCTGTTCTAGCAATTCTAAAGAATATAAAGTTTGGTTGCTTGTGTTTATTAAATATTGTGAAATTTGGTTAACTAAATTAGCATAAGCAAAGAGGCTCAGTTGTAGATTTAAACTAAAAACCACTATTTAAGCAATAGAGCAAACAAACTAAAAACAGCAACTCCTTGGATTCAAGCAACAATCAAACAGATCTGCAGATTCAAAACCTAGCCTAAAGGCTATTATTTAGTAGTAAGCATAGAACTTCTTTTTGTTTGGAAAACCCAAATCTAAGGAACAAAACTGATTTTTTTTGTGACTAAGGAACAAAACTGCTATGTAAAAGTAAAGTGTTAAACAGGTTCCTAAACACAAAACAAATACATTAAAAGCATTTTGTTTGTTAAAAAATATAACACAGCCTACCAAAGCCACTGCAAGGTACATAACACATCAAATGTAGGATCATCAAGTATCCTTCTAATAGGTGCCTGGAAAATACATTAGATCATTGGATGACATATTCTAATTTCGATAAGTGGCTCCTACTATACAAAGATCTGCCATCACATTTATGTAGCCAGTAGATCATAACCATCAGAAACAACGGAATATGCTAGCGCCTTCCACTGCAGTCTGCAACCAGCTTACACACCCAGGACACAAACACATAAAAATTTGATCTCTATTTGATCAAGCAACTTCACATAAACAAGTGACATGAACATGGAAGCCAAGGAATGTCTCAGAAAAAAATCAACGAGGAACACAGGCATCGAGGACAAGGAGTTGGCATAGATGGGGCCCCACGCTTCTTGTTGTGGAGTTCTACAGAATGTGAAGTTTCAATTATAGTATTCATGTGTTAACACTCAGGTTTAGTATCTAGACACACAAGGTATATATAACCCATAAAAGGCTCAATTGCACAAGTGCAAGTTACAACAAAGCCTGAAGTACACAAAACTCAAAATTTGTGAAGTTAAGTTGACAACTGAGAAATGAAATAACCAAAGCAGCTCCTTAAATTCACACATAATAACAAATATTATCACCAACAATTCAAAAGGAAGTCAATCTGGAGTGTTGAATAATACTGCGATGTCCAACACAAACTTCAAATTTGGTACCTAAGTCTATAGAACTTATTGAGAAATTAGTCTGTACCAAACATAAGTATATACCACATCCTACAGCTACCGGAGGGAACACAATTCACCAAACTGATGACCATCAAGCTTTCTACATACAACTATGTGCTAATTTCCATGTTCTAAAATTTTTCGAGTGAGTGAGAGTAATAACTGTATAACAAATCCAAAAAGGAAATGATACGCTCCCTCTACCTCTACAGGATGCTATATGACAAAATATGCATGCATCAGAGCATACAGATAATCATAAATAAAGGAAAATAATTAATGGAGCATTTGATCAAGCAGCAAAACTTGTTATAAACAAAAAGCTATGGGATGGAAATCACCAGAAAGTCGAACAGTTTGTTGGAGCAGCGAGGAACTCAGGCGGCCAGGCCAAGGTGTAGGCATAGATTGGAACTCCGTGCTCCTTGCCATCTTTCATCACCAAGCGCTCCAGCTTGCCGGTCTCCAGATGGAACGAGTAGCGCCCATATCCCCATGTAGTGATGAACACCTTCCCGGTGCGAGCGTAGTCCATGTCGCTGAGCCAGGTGCAAAGCATCCGCATCATCCTGTCCTTGGGAAGCCCAGGCACGGTGTCGAGCACTTTGGTCATGCAAATCTCCCTCTCCATCCACCACCCCCTGTCGCTCCACCTGGGCTCTCCTCCACGCACCCAGATCTGCAGACGCTCTTCGTCCACGATCGACGCCATGCACAGACGGCCGTCCTCCGGCGTCTCTCCGACGCGGTACTTGTTGAAGCCATCCCCCAGGGCGGCAGGCACGGGCATGAACGAGAACTCGAGCGTGCGAGGATCCAGCTGGAGCACGCGGCTGGAGTTGCAGATGTGCCAGTAGATGTTCCCAGCGGCGTGCACGCAGCGGGACTCGAACCACCACGGGTCGAAGTCGACGACGACGCCCTCGGCCCTGGGCAACGCGCGCCAGCTGGCGCAGGTGCCGTCGCGGACGGACGCGACCCAGGCGCGCGGGCGGGCGCCGTCGACGGTGAGGCAGACGGCGTCGAAGGTGAGCCTGCTCGGGTGCGCGCGCGCGAGGACGGCGACGCCGATGACGCACCTGTCGCGGCGCCAGCGATCGACGACATGGTCAGGCTCAGGCAGCGCGTCGCGCGGCGGCGGCGGGAGCAGGACGCGGCGGCGCGACGCCGGGTCGACGGCGAGGATGCGGGGCAGCAGCGACTTGGGGCGCGCGTGAGGGAGGAGGAGGACGAGGCCGAGGTGGACGTCCTGGATGGAGAGAGGCTGCTGGCGGCGCCCGGGGTGACGTCGAGGGAGATGCGCGGGGAGGCGGCGTCGAGCGGGACGAAGACGGCGGGGTGGTGGGTCTTGTCCGACGTCGGCATCGGGGGCGGCTGGGAGGGGCCCTTGGGGTGGAAGAAGTAGCCGAGGAGGGGCGGCACGCGTGGGAGGGCGCGGACGGCGGCGCGGCGCCAGCGGTGGCAGGCGAGCGCCGCGCGGAGGAGGTCGGCGGGGGCCAGGCGGACGAGGATGGCATGCAGGACGAGGTCCGTGAGGTCGGCGACCGTCGTCGTCTCCAGCGCCGGTGCAGGCGCCAACGCCGGGGGGCGAGGGGAAGGGGAAGCGGCAGCGGAGGACGCTAGGGTTTGGTCCTCGCGGCCTCGGCAGCTGCTTTGGGGCGCCATGAGTTCGTCCGACCCGAGACGAGGCGAAGTAGCAGGTGTTGAGGGGAGACGGGAGACAGGGTGGGAGAGAGAGCAAGCAGCGACAGACCGACAGCTGGAGGTCACTTTCCACTGACCCATCCCAGTTCCATGCCAGCTGGTACGTAGGCTCTTTCCTATAGAAAGCCATGCAGCCCGAGGTCCGTTGCACGGCCCGTGGCCCGGCTTTTTGGCCCGGCACGGGCACAGGCACGGTATGGCCGATGGATCAGGCTGTGCCTGGGCCGCCACCCTGGCCCGTGGCACGGCCCGGGCACGGCACGGTGGTGTAGGCCGGCACAGTGACGGCCCGGTGCCCCATTTGGCCTAGCAACGAGCAGCCCACGAAGGCCGGCAACGGCAAATATAAGCACAGCGCAGGAGGCTAGGAGCCCTGCCCGGCTGCCCCCAATCCCTCATTCCCTCCCGGCCTCCCCAATCCCTAACCCTAATCCTCATTCTCTCTCGCTCGCTCGCTCGCTCTCGCTCTGCTCTAGATCTCGATCCACCGCCGCCACCGCCATCGGCCTCGTCCTCGGCTCCGGTGACCTCGCCGGTGCTCCTCCACTCCACCTCGCTAACCCCGTCATTCGCCGCCGCGCAACCGTCTCTCTCTCTCTCTCGCTCCACCTCGCTCTCGCTCTGCTCTAGATCTCGATCCACCGCCGCCACCGCCATCGGCCCCGTCCTCGGCTCCGGTGACCTCACCGGCGCTCCTCCACTCCACCTCGCTAACCCCGTCCGGCTGTCCCCGTCTCCTCCCTCCTTTCCCTCTCCTCTCGCTCTCGGTGAACCGTGAGCCATGTGAGTTCGTGTTCTTCTTCCCTACCCTACCTCGCTCACCTCGCCGTCGATTCTAATCGTTGTCTCCTCCTCCCCACCTTTGGCTCTGGCTTCTTCATCTCCGGCACCGGGCTTTGGAGCGCAGGTTCGTCTTGTTCTTCCCTAACCCTAACCCTACTCTTTCTTTGGATCTGCTCGTCAGTTCTTGTTCTCTCTACTCACTCTGTCTCTGTCTTTTTGAGTTGTAGGTTCGTGCCTGACGCCGCGTCCTCCTCTAGAGTGGACATGGCCAGGCCGCTGAAGCACCCGTCGAGGGGCGGTGCTGGAGCTGGATGTCGGGGTCGGGCTCAGTGGTCTTTGGTCTTTGGGCTGCAACGCTGGGGCGGATCAACATCCCCCCTTGTCGACGACGAGGACCTAGCGCCGCACCCGGACGAGGAGCTAGAAATCGAGAACGACGACGACTTGCGTGATGACGCAGCCGGTCTGTTCGGCATCGATCTCGGTGACGGTGACGGCAACCAGCCCATCGATCTCGATGGCGACGATGGTGATGGTGGAGTTGAGGTCTCCACTGACACTCATGGAACCTCTTCCACCTCTGGTAAGAAAGTTTCTGATGTTTGAGATTACTTCCATGAGATTAAGGAGAATAAAATTCGAGTGAGGGCCATCTGTAAACACTATGGTGCGCGTTACAGTGCTAGGTCTGCTGCTGGCACTGGGCATTTGAGACGGCACATGTTTTCCTGTATGAAAAAACGTAAGCATGCTAGTATGGTCCAGTCTAAACTTGCTATGAATCCTGATGGTTTGAAAAATTGGGTGTATGATCCTATGTTTGCTTGCACTGAGTTGTGCCGTTTGATTGCTCGGCTAGACCTTCCTTTAGGGATTGGTGAGACCCAGGCTTGGGAGGGTTACATTAAGCGTGCTCACAATCCTCTGTTTCAAAAGGTTTCTAGGCAGACCACCACTAGAGATATGTCTAAACTGTTTGATGAACAACGTGCTATGCTTATGAAATCTTTGTTGCCTGCTGCATCTTCTGTTTCTTTAACATCTGATATATGGTCTGGTAATGCTAAAGAGGATTATATTTTTGTTGTTGCTCATTATGTTAGTGCAGATTGGGAATTACCGAAAAAAAATTGTTGGTTTAAGGCTGATTGATGTTTCTCATTCTGGTGAAAACATTGCTGATAGGATTGCTAGTGTGGTTGAGGAGTTTTGTTTGATTGAAAATGTTTTTTCTGTGTCTCTAGACAATGCTTCTGCTAATTCTAGGGCTTTTGAGATTTTGCAACCTATGTTCTTTGGCTATTTAGGTTCTTATCCTGTACCTACAAGAGATGATCCTAACAAGGTGCAGTATTTGCTTGTGCATCAACGCTGTGCATGCCATATAATAAATTTGATTGTTAAATCTGGCATGAAGAGGTTGAAACCTTATACTAAAGATTTCAGAACTACAATAAGTTTTTTAAATTCCTCTAATCAAAGAATTGCATTGTTTAAGAACTATTGCACAGCTCAGGGTCTTAGACCTAGAAAGTTTGGCTTGGATATGGATGTTAGATGGAATTCTATTTATTTGATGCTCAAACATTTGCTGCCATATAAGGAAGTCTTTCATGTGTTCATTACATCAAATTATGGTTCTACTTTGTTGACTGCACAGCATTGGTATGTTGCTGAATAAATAATGATATTCTTGGAACTCTTCTATAATTCCACTGTTTATTCTGTCTGGTGTGTATTATCCTACAGCTCCACTTGTTTTGCACCATATGCTTGACATGGATGAACACTTGCAAAATGCTGAAAGAGATGCTAATTTTAGAATGATTGCTACTCCTATAAAACTTAAATTCCTTAAATATTGGGAGAAAATTCCACTCATTTATTCATATGCATTCATTCTTGATCCTAGAGCTAAGATGAAAGGGTTCTTTAATGTGCTTGAATTGCTTGCTAAGGCAACTGGATGCACTTATAGTGTGTACTATGCTGATGTCAAAGATGAATTGTATAAACTGTTTGCCAAGTATGAACAGAAATTTAGTGCAGTGAGGAGTCAAAGAGTTTCAGTCCCTTCAGCTCATACTGGTAAGACAAAATAGGCATGGGGAAGGATCTTTGGAGGTCCTGGTGAATCCCCTGTCTCTTCCCCCTCATCTTCATCTACTCCATCTGCTGTTAGTGAGCTCAAAGCTTACTTGGACAGTGACCCTGTCACATGTTATGAGGAATCCTTTGATATACTCCTCTGGTGGCGTGACCACAAGCTAACCTATCCAATCCTGTCGATTATGGCTCGAGATATTATGTTTGTCCCTGTGTCTACTGTCTCTTCGGAGTCCTGTTTCAGCTGTACATCTAGGATACTCGAAGATCGGCGGCGGCGCTTGTTGCCTGAGCATGTTGAGATGCTCACCTGCATCAAGGACTGGGAACAAGGTGCAAGAAGGGAACAGCATACACCTAAGGACCTGGAACTGGAGGAGGCATTCAACAACCTCTTCCTCAATGAATAAGGCGAAGGCAGCGGCAGCGGCGATACTGCTGTTGGTGGTGGATAGAAGAAGAGAAGAGGAGAGGTAGTCACTAAACTGAAACTTCTTTATATTCAAGATTTGAAGTTCATTATGTCTAACAAAGTAACAATCTAGCATTGACATTTTGCAGGTACTTTTGGACTGTGAGTTTGTGACATAGTTGAGGCAGTGAGTGAGTCAAGGATCAAGGATGATGGATGGATGAACATGAACTTTTGTAATAGGATAGAAATAGAACTTCTTGCTGCTGTGATGTGATCATGTGAACTCACTAAGTCTCACTGTGACTTTGCCACTGATGTTGGCTATTGTAATAGGATAGAACTAAGACTTTGACAATTTAGAGCTGGCTGTACTCTTTTTTCCTTTCTAGGGTTTCTCACAAGGGTGAGTTTTATCTAGAAAAGTTTTTAATGAGGCAGCATTGCACAAACAGCTCATTTTGATATTATAACAATATCTCTCTTATGTCTTATTGTCTGTGAAATGGAATCTTGAACTGTGAAAGTGAAACACTTAGAAAATTTGATGAAAAAAGAGAGGTTTTTTGGCAGCCGGGCCATGGGCCGGCACGGCCCGGTGAAATTGGCCGTGCTCACCGGGCGGCACGGCACGGAAAAACGGCCCGTGGGCCGTGCCTTGGGCCAGAGGCGCGGCACGAGCACGGCAGCGGCACGGCACGGCCGGCACGGTGGCCCGTGCAGGCACGACGCCACGCCGGCACGGCCCGGCCCGCCGGGCCGCCGGGCCGGGCCGGCACAGCCCAATGGCCATCTATACTCTTTCCGTATGTTCGCTCCAGGGGTCGGTCCAGGCTTTTTGAATTTTGATTGACCGAGAGCCCAAAACCAAAAGGCTTCTCCTAGCGACTTTGAAAATATGCTATTTTGTAGTAACAACTATTTTGAAAATGTACTGAATTAGGCGCTGTTCGCTTCAAATTAGGGCATGTTTAGTTCCCAAAAAAATTTGCGCAGTACCCATCACATCGAATCTTGCGGCACATGCATGGAGTACTAAATGTAGACGAAAAAAAAACTAATTGCACAGGTGGGTGAGAAATCGCGAGACGAAACTTTCGAACCTAATTAGTCTATAATTAGACACTAATTGCCAAATACAAACGAAAGTGCTACAGTAGCCAAAACCCAAAAATTTTTGCATCTAAACGCGCCCTTATCAGCCTGGCTTTCTCTCACAATAAATCAGCGAACGATATTTTTCAGCCAGACTTTTTCAGCGAAACGAATGGAGCCTTATTTGGTTTTGCAAAGATTATCGCCATGTTCGTTTGGGCTTATTTGGCTAATAAGCCATAGTTGAAAGTACTGTTGGCTGGTTTGGTGTGAGAAAAAAATATTGTTCGTTGGCTGATAAGTTATGGCTTATAAGCCAAATACGACCAAGCCAACAGGCTGTTTAGGAAAGAATGCAACTTTAGGGTCTAGTTTTTGTTCAACAAAAAAATCATATCAACTCTCATAGACCACATAGGATCAGCTAGCCAATCATTTCCATTCATTCAAGATCATCTAGCAGCGTCGAATTAAGCTGATGGCGAGGGCACAAGCATCACTGGTCTCCATTGTGTCGCTGCTGCTTGGCCTCACCATTGCCTAGCTCACTGTTTCATTTCATTCAACCATGCAGCATCTCATAGTACTGATAATAATGTCTCTCTTCTGTGTTCAAAAAAAAATGTCTCTGTTCTAAATATTCATGCCAGACAATTTGCTTGTATGTATCACAAACATTAGTTAAGTCACGACACTGTTAAATATAAAATAGATATATGACATAGATAATGTGACATTGTTGCTATGGAGACCAAGAACGAACATTCTTCTTTTCTCCACAAAAAATTGTACAGCCATTGAAGGGGCAGCAGTAGCTTCTATATATAGTAGGATGCCACAGATATCAGCACCTTACTCCGTTACCAACGAACTACCACATAAGAACAACCCAATCAATGGATCGACGACTAGGGGGGGGGCTTCAGTTGCGATTAATTCACATGGTGCAAGCGCGAACAGTCGATCGAAGCGATTATGCGACAGGAGGGCACGCTTCGCTGTCCTTCGATGTGTCAACTTCTGATGGTGGCATGAACTGCCACATTGGGTATCCCGGATAGCTGACAAAGGGCATCATCAGCTTCTGCCCTGCAGCTTGCCCCTGGGCATGGAATGGTGCTAAGGGCGCCTGAGGGAAAGGCGCCGGTATCAGGGTCGGATGAGGCATGTAGGCTGGTGTTGAGGTCATAAGCTTCATCTGGTGCTCTAAACTCTCCTTCTCTAATTTCAGTTTCTGCTTCTCATCACGAAGCTCATCCTTCTCGGCCTGGAATTAAAGAAACAACAATAGATTCATAAATATTGGAGATCACAGAAAAATAAATATATCAGAAAAGGAGTAAACTTTGTGCCCTCGAGAAAAAAATTTCCAACAGCTGAGTACTTGAGAGTAGTTAGAGGCATAGCAGCCAGAACAGTACGATATAATCAACAGTCTGATCAAATCAATAACAAACTCGGACTCTGCATAAAGGGTTATGGTGGACTGTGAATATTACAGAATTGAAAATGCTTCCAAAGCTTGATAGCTAATTGTATCCATCATTAAAAAAAATGAAGGCTTTTGACCTGTCATTGGATACCCTATAACCCGTTCCCCAAATTCACACCCATGATTCGGGTCAGGTATGGGTAAGTAACTTGCTACCCGTTGAATTAAGGTTAAGGTAAGGGTCTCCCCGCTTCTACCTGTAATCTCGTCTCCTTCCCTTGCCCCCTTCCTTCGTAGTTGATTCTCAATTATATCACAGGAAGCACAAGCCCCCTCTGTATCAGCGTACCATTGCTTTCCTTTGTGCCTCTTCCATATCTCACTACCCTGTGCACTGGTGGCAGTGGCAAAACCCAGCCAGCCCCAGTGGAGGGGCAGGCGTGGAGGTGCAGCAATGTCCAGCTGCGGTAGCGTGGAGGTGAGTTCCTCGTTGCCTTACCCGCAACACACGATTTGTAGCGCTATACGTATATTCCAGCACTTGTGAACAACAATCCAAGAAGGCAAGCACATGTTCATGAGTGAGATGGGGAGTTATGGGGAGGGTGTAGAATGGATATTTCATACCCTCCCCATTAACAGGTCTAGAACGCTTTCGATGATCAATACATGATTTGTGCTCTGTTGTGGTGCATAGAAACAACATATAGGTAACAAGTTATGTAGTATGTTGTCAGCCAGAGGCTGATTTTGTGTGTGTGGACAGTTCACATTCAGAAAAGGAAGTTTGTACCAGTAAAACTAGCTGTTAATAAGAAATGTCTTGCGTGAGCTATGCAAGAGCAGTCAGTATATTCATGTGCAGGCCACAAGCTACCATAAAGCATTGCCAGCATTAGATAAAGATCTCATAATTGTAGATGAACATAAGAGTGCTACTGGGTAATGTTATGGATTCCTGAATAACACGGGGCATGCTCGCACCATAAAAGGACAATGTATTATATGTGGGTTAACAGTGTTCAAAATAAACAGCTGAATAACCTTTAGTTCTTTAATCTTTTCTTCAAGACTACCATTAGTTTCCTTCAGCTGCTGTGCTTCTGAACGAAGCTGAATAACCATGCGAGTAGCATCACTTAGGATAGCAGCTTTGTCAGCTTTTACTGGCTTCCCAGGTTCTAATGTAGACCCCAATTCAAGAAACCTAGAAAACCATAAGAAAGAAATGAAAAGGTATGTCAATGACCTGGCAATCCATCTTTGATACTGCAGTGTCAGCAAAATTATGTCTATGATTTACCTGCCATTCAGCTTGTTCCTCCTCATTTTTTCCCTAGAAGCTTTAGATGTTGGCACATCATTGGATCCTGACCTTAAACTGCAAGATGCAATAGAGTTACAATTGTAAGAATGATGGTTGCATACAGCAAGACAATATGAAATACTTTTTTTTAAGTCGTAGAGTGAAATAACAGACACACCGTTTATTGCTGCCAGGCTCCTTGAAGACATCATTGGGCTCCTTGAAGACATCATTGGTGTTCACATAGCTGCCGACTTCCACACTGTAAAATATGGGGAAAATCAATTAGCAGTTCCAACTGTATATGAACTTTCTTTTTCTTATTTGCTAGTACCTAATTTGAACCAAATAACTGAAAATCATTCATCGACGAAAGTAATCAGAGAACTAGCTACATGTAAGGCATTGAACTCTGCCCGTATGGAGTAGACTGCATTCAGTAAAGCAAAAAATGGTCAAAGTCAAACAACAGGATCACTGCAAATTACTCCTAAATTAATATCATAGCAGCATCAGCGCATACATCTTTGGCTCTGCAGTCCAGTTTTACGATCCCATCCATGACCTAGCAGCACATCCCCTTGCTCATAGTCACAGCCTCGCACGCATACTTATCAGGACTTGTAATACAACCCCCATCAATTAAGTCGCCAGCATCTAGAGCAGACCATCTCAATTGTTTGGGCGAATCATTAGTCATAATCACACATAATCCATCCATTCCACTGTCATAAACACAGTCGCTGCAATATAAGACCAAATCTACCAAAACAAGTTATCTTGGAATGCGCAAACTCAGCATCCTTGTTTTTTAGGAAACCATTTTTTCCTTTGGGAACTCTAATCTAATTTAACCTACATAAAAAAGCAGCCACCTCTCCGGATCAACAGACTGGAAGATCTGCTGTACAGAGCAACCACCTCTCCGGATCAGATGCCTCCCAGCGCATGCATCTACTATCCAGATAGCCGCCCCCCAAATCCCACACCCGCCCGTCTCTACCCCAACGATTCCACGATACTCAGAGATACGGAACGCCGCGGTCACGGAAACGATCGCCAGGATCCTACGCTAAACAAAGCATCCGCGTCTTCTGGAACTAGAAAGGGTGTGGGGAAGGGAGGAATCGATTGGTCAATCTGGGTGGGCGGACCTGGGGTTGGAAGAAGACGGGGACGCGTCCCACGGGAAGGCCGCGGCCGGGAGGTCGTCTAGGATGCCGCAGTCGAGGAACCAGTCGTCGCCGGTGCCGCCGCCGCCGTCCGCCGGGCCCGGGGGGAGAGACATCGCCGCCGCAGCCGCCGCCGAAGAGACCTTTTGGGGGCTAATAGCAAAATTCGTGGATCTTTTGGGTGCCTCGCGTCGCGGACCCGAGATTAGGAAGGCGGGCCGTGCTGTGGGTGACAGGTGGGCCCTGGCGCGTTTCGGGTTAGAGTGTGGTTGGTGGACGGCGAATTGTCTTTTTTTTTTCATGTGGCCGCTGGAGAAGAAGATAGGAGGAGCAGGTGAGGTGGGTGACGTGGCGTGGATGGAGGAGAGCCAGCGAGGATGAAGGCCGCCAGGGCCCAGGGGCGAGTGCGAGTGGGACCCCCTTCGCTTGCCAAGATTAGCATCACTACTACTAACTTGATTTGACTGATGAACACTGACTTTAGTTAACCAATGGAGGCATGGACCTATGACAGCGATCTTATCTTTTTGTTCACAACAAAAACATGCATGCCACCGTCACCATTGCCTTGATCTGGTGTGGCTACTGGCTAGCGACCGGAGCATGGACCATCGCTCCCCTCTTCGTCTACACTTGTGATTGGTCAGGTCACCTCTCAAGGCTCAATCTGATGCCCACAAAGACAAATTGATAGTTCTACATGAACTATTATACTGTCTCCTGTCTCCGGTCATAACTAGATGACGTTTTGCACAACAAAAGATAACTAGTTGTCACAAGTTAAAGTCACGATCCAAATAGCCTCTACTCTTTTTTTCTTTTTAACTAGGAAACGTGCTCATGCGTTGCACGAAATCCAATACATCCTGAAATTCAATTTTCGTACGATTGCTAGATGTGAGTTCCTAACTCATATGAGCGTGAATCATGAATCTGGGTCGTATATAGAATATGGGATATGGAGGACGCAAGGGCAGGCAGTGACATTTGAAGCAAATGAGCAAATCTTTGCCCAACCCCTATCCTAGTTCTTCTCCCATTTCCTCCAAACGCGCATGTAAGAACAATCGAATACTATTAATAGTTCCTATTCTATGCCAACGCCTTGTATTGTCATGAAAGTGTCCAAAGTGGTGCCGGAGTGTTGAGTGGAACGCATGGCTATTCAATTAGGGCGTGACCTTGGTGACCATGACCCTGTCGCGCGGCTTGACCATGGCCAAGCCATCGAAGGTCGAGCCTCGCGTTGACAAAGTAGCTAGTAGATAAGGGCCTGTTTAGTTGGCAAAAATTTTTGGTTTTCGGTACTGTAGCACTTTCGTTTGTATTTGGTAATTAGTATCTAATTATGGACTAATTATGTTCGAAAGTTTCGTCTCGCGATTTCTCACCCAACTGTGTAATTAGTTTTTTTTTCGTCTACATTTAGTACTCCATGCATGTGCCGCAGATTTGATGTGATGGATACTGCGCAAAAAAATTTAGATTTTAGGTGGAACTAAACAGGCCATAAATAAATAAACTGGTCGACCACGTGGGGAGGCGGCATTGAACGATGGTATGGGTTGTGGGGTGGAGTTGATGAGCGCACTCGATGCTTCAGATGCGTCGCTAGGAATTGAAAAGGACGGCACCAAGAGAACAAGGGTGGGCAAACGTCCAGTGCCTTGTTTAGACGGCGTCAAAGTTCCAAGTTTTTTCACTCTCTCTCCGTCACATTAATTTTTGGACGCATGTATGGAACATTAAATGTAGGTAAAAAAAGTAACTAATTACACAGTTTGGTTGTAAATCACAAGATGAATCTTTTAAGCCTAGTTAGTCCATGATCGGACAAAGTTTGTCAAATACAAATAAAATATGCTACAGTGTCCAGATTGCAAAAATTTGCAATCTAAACAAGGCCCAGATCAATTTGGCAACGTGATTTAATATTAGTACGGAGTACATCAGAATTGGGTGGGACGTGAAGGAAGTTTGGGACGTAAAACACAGGACAAAAAGAAACACTTTGCTCATTAATCATAAAAATCTGCATGAACAATTTGATGGTAAAAGTTTTTAATTTATTAGAAAGAGTCGAGAGCTCAAAGACCCACGATTGTTGCTTTTATTCTATATTTTTAATATTTATATTGGAAACAAATCTAAAAACCATAAAAAATACTAACACGACGGGCAAAAAAAACCAAAAAAGGAAAAAAAACAAAAAAGTGAAAAAAAGATCGCCGGGCTAACAACAAAAAGATCATGAAAAAAACAAAAAAATAATGTCCGCTCAAAAACCAGGTGGACGGGAAAAAGTAAAAAAAGAGAAAGGAAAAAAAGAGAAAAGTGGAAAAAGGACGTGGATTGACGCACCAAAACCGAGGGTATTTTAAAAAATAAAAGAAAGCGGGTTGAAAAAACACTTCATTTGTAGGGATCACGCAATAGCCATGTAGCGTATGCTATCCATAAACAAATTTGCATGTATTTGTATACTTGTCCCTACGAACTTATTTGTTGAGAATTATTATTTAGTATTCAATTAGAGATTAATTCAAAGAGTGTTTTTTCACCCATCTTTCTCTTTCACACTTGTAACCGTCTATATAGGCCTTATATATATATATATATATATATATATATACTGTTCATTAGAATACAACATACAATCATTTGCATCTCTCGTTTTTGTCTCGCTCTCTACTTCTAACACGTTATCACGCACATTTGCTCTCCGCTGGTTACGGGCCAAAAACCAAGAAGACGTCGATGGCCGATGATGCAGTTGCACGTCGTTTTCACCTGCAGACCGTCAAGCGCTATTTCCACCAACGAGCAAGGCCGGAGAAGATCGCCGGCATCGCTGCTCTCTCCTACGAGGCACACTCCTTCTCCACGAGACGAGTTCGCGGCGTCGCCGCTTCTACTACAAGTCCGAGCATGAACAAGAACATGCGATGGTGTTCTTCACACCGATAAAGAAGAACTCATGAATCACGGTAACAACCATCGAGAATGAATTTGTCGTTGTTTACCTTCCTCTCGACGCTTTGTCCTTGCGGTTGTTTTTTTCGGCACCTTGCGACCGGACCGACGGCCGACGGTGACCGCAGCCCATGCGCCTTAGCGGGCCCTAAGCGGAAGGGCACGCAGCAGCGCTGCGGGTCTCCGCGGCGGCGGCCCACACGCCTCGGCCTCGCGTGGCCTTTCGCCCGTGTGGCGGCGACCTCCACGCCCGTGGCCGATTCCACGTAATCGGGGGCGCTGCGGCTCCAGCGCCCGGCGCCGAACACGCACGCTGCAGCAGCAGCCCCCCACGGCTAGACAGACATGGCCCGGTGCTCGGCCTCCCTCGCGTGGCTCTGCACCGCGGTCACCAAACCCGTGCAGCCTCTGGGCGGCAATCGTGGCTGTAGCCCTACGCCTGACGACTTCGCCTCTGTGCATGTGGCGGCGGCTCGCTCCCACGTGAACCCGCGTGCCCTAGTGCTCGTGGATCGGTGGCGACAACCGGCTGCTCCATGGCTTGAACGACAAGATGGGCGCCCTCACGGTCGAGGCCCGAGGAGGCCAAGCGGCGTTCTGAAGGGGCTGTCGTCCGTGAGAGATGGGATGGGGAAAGGATAAGGTTGTGCAGATTTGCACATAAACCCTTTTCCTTTCTATGAATTACATGATAGTTTTGAAAGATTATCAGTGTATATTAGATCTATGTTGTAGCCCTCGGATACATTGTGCAATATATTGATAAATGCTTGTTTTAGACTTTACGTCTAAATAAATTATGATGCACAATATTTGCCTTGCGTAAATAGATGATTTTTTTGAGACATATCGATCCTCAGAAATTACATCATAATATATAATTGCAGATAAATTTACTATTGTCATGTTTAGATATTTTTTTGTGTCTATGATTTTCTATTTTAGTCATGGACACTAACAATATTAGTATGGTAGAGTTTTTGCTCCCATACATTGTTTTTTTAGACCAGAAAAATGTTCATGTTTAAACATACATAGTTTGTTGGTTTTGTTGTTTGCCAATTAATTTTAATTACAACAAAATCATAGCCCCTTAAATAATTGATAGTTAATTAAGGATGCCTGGATTTAGGCTCATATGAGCCTAGTCTAAAAAAGCAAAATGGCAGCCAAACCATTTTGCTAATGAGGCTAATCATGAGTGGATCATGTCTCTAGTTTTTCAAACTATTGAAGACTATGATCATATTGTTCATACAATTTGCTTCCACTAGTAAAAACAAAAAGCCTAATGTGCAATATGAGTAATGGCAATGTGAACCCAAAAATAACAAAAAGTAATGTCATATATGTGGTTGTGTTTAGCATAGCGCTAAACAATGTCATACTCTTAAATCTGTAGTTGATCTATATCAACATTCTATAAGGGATGAAACAGGAGCTACAAAAAATAAGATATGAAGGGTGCTTCAATCTTAAAATCTAAAAACACATAGGAGGTTGGTTGTTTATGCTGGACCTTATGTGATCCCATAACAACACTTCTCCTTTTCTCGTAAAGAGAACATCACATAGATGGACAACTTGATCATCGAATATGCTTCGAATGATTTGTTTTGAGATTTGGGATAATCTCATCGTCCGTTGATAATATGTGATAATGTCCATCGAAGATGTTGTAATATTTGTGTTGTCAACGCACAACTATTGTGGGTATCATATCGATGTATTTGATACTCGGCAATATTTATGAATTTCTATATATTAGACGAGAATCTTATTAAACTCTTATCATATATAGATTGAACGGGAATCATTCCAATGTGGAATGATATGTGCCTAGTGGGCATTTGTACCACAAACTCTATAACTAGGGAAGAAAAATGTTCTGACAAGAAGAGGGAATATTTTGGCCATCGCTGATGCGATGCAATGATTGTTTGGCCTATTTTGCCACTATCATTCTTCCTTAGATACTGAGTTAGCAATTGAGGATATTTAATTATGTCCCAATTCAACCCGCATCTTACTAAATTATAGAGATATCCAAATGTGTTTCCGTATGTGGACACAAAAGGATAACATTGGATATGGCATATAAGTAATGAGATAAGTCTCATTTTGGTTGTACTATGCATACAAC